GGGGGGGGGGGGGGGGGGGGGGGGGGGGGGGGGGGGGGGAACGGGACCCCCGGGGACACGGGTGATGGGGACACGGGGGGGTGTGGGCATGGGTGGGTGATGGGCGTGCGGGGGGATGAGGGAACACGGGTGGGTAACGGGGCACGGGTGCGTGGCGGGACATGGGTGGGTGATGGACACGGGTGGGTGATGGGGACCTGAATGGGTGATGGAGACACGGGTTGGGGATGTGGATATGGGTGGGCGACGGGACATGGGTGGGTGACAGACCACGCGTGGATGATTGGGACCTGAATGGGTGATGGGAACACGGGTGGGGGATGTGGATATGGGTGGGTGATGGGACATGGATGGGTGACGGGACATGGGTGGGTGGTGGACACGGGTGGGTGATGGACCATGGGTGGGTGATGGGGACCTGAATGGGTGATGGGGACACGGGTGGGGGATGTGGATATGGGTGGGTGATGGGACATGGATGGGTGACGGGACATGGGTGGGTGACAGACCACACGTGGAATATTGGGACCTGAATGGGTGATGGGAACACGAGTGGGTGATGGGGACACGAGTGGGGGATGTGGATATGGGTGGATAACAGGACACGGGTGAGTGGTGAGAACATGGGTGGATGACGGGACACGGGTGGGTGGTGGGGGCACAGGTGGGTGACGGGACACGGGTGGGTGGTGGGGACACGCGTGGGTGACAGGGACGCCGTGCCACGGCGCTTATGAGCAACAACTTAGGAGGGCGCTGGTAGACCGGGCTGAGCGAGGGCAGTACCCGGGGGTCTTGGCACGTCCCCCTTTGCCTGGGGGGCCCGACGTGGGGATTTAACAACCTTGGGACGGGAGGGGACGGGGCGGGGCTGCCCCGCTGCCGGCCGAGCTCTGTGTGTGGAGGAGGGTTTGGGCTGGGGGGTCGTGGCTCTCAGCTCATCCCGGTGCTGGGGACCCCCCCGATGCCACGGTGCCACGGAGCCGTGCCCAGGTCTGCACCCCCATTCCGAGCTCTCTTTGTCCTCCTCCTCCTCCTCCTCCTCCTGGCTCGGTGGGCAGGAGCCACGGCACACGATCTTAATCCCCAAAGGTGGCATTAAACAGATTAAAGGTGGGATTTAGAGCGGATTAAAGTCTGGATTAATGGGAGCCTTGACTTGAATCTTGGTCTCACGCAGCGGC